AGAGAAAGGCAAGTGCGAGTGGTACGTATGATATCGAACTGCTTGAATCATCAGTCTGCAAAAAAAAACGGACTTTGAGTCGAATGCTCCGATTGGATTCACACACACACTGAACACTCAAAACCATTCTCTAGATCAAATACAAAAGGTTCAGACAGCGCATAGCTCTAACAGTGTCACCAATTGAAAAGTAGTTCGTTTATACTCCGTTCATCATCATCGTCCTTCAGCGGAAGGCAGTAAATCGAAGTTCACCGATCACTGCGGAGCTCACAATGTACACAAAGTAAGTGAGAGTATATTTGATATCCGGGGCTTATTCAGAGGAAGGCAAGGGAGGTGAACCTCTATGATGAACACCATCTAATTGTGCCTAAATACCTTCTCAAACATTCTAACCTGATTAGGAATGACAACAAGAACACCACTTCCGTCGTTTAGTTGCCATATCTTTCACTACATCCAATCGGCCAATTTATCTTTTCGAGCCCAACTTGCAAGGTAGGAAATACCTACTCTACCTAGTCACTGCCTTTCTTCATACCTTGTTTTCACGTCATCTGTTGATCTCCACATGATTTCCCTCAACCTGCAGCAGCAACAATGAATAAGGTGCGTTGTGATAGACGGCAGTTGGGTATACGCGATACATGTCCTAACCATTAAAGTCTACTGATTTGAATTCAATGTGGTTACGAATCGTCGATTGAATCATTCCCAAATGCGCGTCGACTTATTTGAGTGTTGCTTACCCACTCACTTCTAGACAATGAGTGTCTTCCACGCGAACATTCATTGTCTGTTAACCGCAAAGCAGAGGTGATCGCACAGTGATGCGGTTTACTCGGTTCCGCCTTGGTCATGTTTATGAACCCCCCAACCCCGCATTCTGTGTTCGAGATTATCCATGACCACAAGAAAAACAAATGGTGTTTATTTGTTATCTCACAGTATCTGGTTTCTGTCTCCCTAACCTGAAAGAACAGGCTGGTGGTACTGATCTTGGAGGCAATAATGATCTGCTGATCGGCTCACGAGAAGCACACAGGCGAGGATGGTCACCTGACTGGTCTTGGTGAATCACCACAGTGCCATAAAACGACTCATTGATGGCGATCACGTCGTTTTCTAGTCATGGCCGCAGTGTGCTTATAATGTCAGTTCCTGTTTTTGACAATGCCGCATTTCCTGATTTCCTGATTGAGAATGCATGTTAGTTTCACTTTGTCAAATGAACCTTGTGTTTCTGTTACCAATAAAATGGAATTGAAACACTTGATTTTGGCGAACACTATGTGTACGTTAGTGATTAAGTCGTTGTCCGTGTTTTATATTGTCTGATAGCAGCAGTGACAAATTTTTCTAAATTGAATACGAATAGTACCTGAAAGTTCCTAGCACAGTTCGAAAATGTTTTCACACTGTTGTGGTCAGTGTTTGTTATTGGCACCATCATGCAGCGGTTTGTGTCCAGGACCGTCTTCGTTTCCTCGCGCCGAACCGCAGACGGTTGTCACCCACGCAGCGTTCACTTCGACCACTTATGCACACACTTGTCTGAGAACAGACTGCGTGCCAAGAAAATCATGGTACAATAATCTTTATAAAAAGAAAAATGTTCCATGATTGGTTTGTGGGCTGAATACTTCCAGGTTGCCTAGGCCAAGACAGGTGAATTTTCCTGAGGAATCCACAACTGGAGCTTTTGGCTAGCCAAAGCCTGACCCGCAAGGCAGCGGGGCGGTGTGTGAGAATTGCAGTCCATTGGGAGTCGGTGTCCAGTTCATCGTATCATGCGCCCTTTGGACGGGGTCAGACGTCCAAGATGCCCAATCGAGCCGGTGGCCAAGCCATGTGACAAGCACACTCCTGTTGCCAATTCTCTCAAGCTCACAGGTTGTTGTTGCATCACTTGAGTGGAATTTGTTCACCTTCACTCGTGTGTGCAACGTTTGGCGGACTCTGAACCGCATGGTGGAACTAATTATCATCTTTTCGGTAAACTTACTCATTCCCGAATTTTTCGGCGAACCACGTAATTGTGTTTGGTGTGCAATAATGTTAACCTTTTTGCCTTCATTTAATAAGCATACAATTACCCACAAAACTCTCTAGAATGAGTTAGTTTTGAATTGTTCAATCGCATCCTAGAGACATGCAATAGCTTAGAATCGAACTTCAATCTGGAGGTCTCTGTAGTGACGACCGTAACAATTAGTCTACCAGCTTTTCTTCATCTTTGGCAGTGAGCAGCGGTTAGGAATTCAACTATAATTCCACTCTCTCCCTAACTTTGAAGACTCGTTTTGGAACAGCTACAGCATGAAATGCGCGAAAGGCACAGACGATGGGCCAGGATAGAGGCTCTGCTTGGGCTGAAGTTACGCAACAATCTGGGACCAGCACGTATCCAGCACCTTTTGACTACAGGTGTGCGGTCTCCTCCGGCTGATCAGCACTCACTAATTCCTGGACCAGAGTGCGAATTTAAGTCTTCGGAACCTCGGGAAACTGAAGAACCTGGTGATACTGAAGGAGAACAAGGTCTATGTAAGCAACAGTTGTTATTCCTCCATCTCATCTTTTGCGTTGCATGAAAAACTGTAGCTTGACCCCCTCCCGGTCTGTCACTCTCCCATTCTGTCGAAGTCCCATCGTCTGTCACAGTTTGTAACATTGCTGATTCAAGGAGGCAGAAAAATAGTGCACTCCACAGAGCACACCTGTAGAAGAATTTCACGTTACATGTCCTGAGGCACTTGAATGGTTTCACCAGGTGCTTGTTTGGTGAATTCGGTTTCAGTTTGTACACCCGAAACCATACACCTGTTTTGGTTGCCCATTTGGATGAAGTAGTAGAAGAAGGACAGGGAAATTGAAAGTAGAGTCCAAGATAAAATTGTGAATTCCAATGGATTAAGGTTACGGAGAAACTGAGAAGATGCACGAACGTCACTGTTTACGACACTCAGTCATACCATTCAATATCTCTAACCATTGATCTCGGGTTCTCCATCCAGGGAGCTCAACGCAACCCTGGTAACCAAATCTGCCGGTTTGGGTTTTCATACCCTCTTTCCAGGTTTTATTTTGACCACCCTTGGCTTTTTCCCACCCACTGCCTGCCTCGACAAACATCGCGCCCCGTGGCAACCTATCTGGTGGCATGCGTAACACATGCTCCAACCAACGTAATATGTGGAGGTCGACCGCTTTCTCCAATGGGCGACGTTATTACCTGACACTCCGCGCCTAACCCCTGGATTGCATGCCCGGTTACCTCAACAGATTCGCGCAGCTCTGCGTAAATAGCGATGTTCAAACACCGGCAGTCTATCTGTATCGTGTTATCTTTTATGGCCATATTTCTGCGCCGTATATAGCCTAATCTTTTTGTTTCACCATACACTTTTCTATATTTTTGTGTTAGTTTATCATTTTATTGGACACGGGTGTTCAACGGGCAGGCCGTACCGCATTCGCTCCATTGATTTCTATTCGGGGCCATATCTCTTAGCGTCGGTAACCTTACTTTACTACGGCTGGCTCCTTGGAAAGGATAAGCCGACTCCATGAATACCTCTGATGGCCGCTATCCATGCTTGGCGCATGCTTGCTGCATGATCCTTGCAAATGTTGATCCAGTTTGTTTTCCATTGGCGAATGCCGTACACCATCCGAAGACCAGGTTTTTACTTGCCCCCCTTGGCGGCGGCACCAGCCAGGACAATACTCGTGAAAGTGTAGTCGGGCCTAGCCATTGCAGTCGGCGGCGTTGTATGTGCGTTGAGAAACGGACAACGTGGCATCGATTTCTGAGGTCCGCGTTTGAGACCCTGTCCCTCCAATCATCTGATGTCCTCAGCTCTCAGCGGCCAGGTTTCGCAGCCGTATAGTAGGACTGGTAGAACCGCTGTGGCAAACACCCTGAGCTTGGTTTTGAGGCTGATCTCGTTCCGGCGCCATAGGGTGGTTCGAAGCTGCAGAAACGCCGTTCGGGCCGTGTCGATGCGGCGCTTTACATCATCTTTGGCTTGTCCATTGGGTAAAATGGTGGACCCAAGGTACATGAATTCCGATACGATATCTGTTGTCTGACCATCCAGTTGCAGAGGATGTCCCGCTTGATCAGATGGAGTAGCGAACATCTTGGTTTTATTGGGATTAATCTCAAGGCCGATGTCAGAGGCAAATCTTTTGATACGGTTGAGAGCTGTTTGCAAGGCAATCAGGTCCTCTCCAAGCACTATCACGTCATCAGCGAATTCGGGGTCAGTAATCCAGCGGAAACTTGGACGCCTTGGTAACCTTCCATTGCCCGACGGAGAATCCAATCAACGGCGAAGTTGAACAACACTGGAGATAGCGGGTATCCTTGTCTTACTCCTGACCTCAGATCGAAGGGATGAGACTCTTCGCAGTAGGCACGGATACGGGCTTTGGTTTGGGTGTAATACGATCTCACTATGTCGACCAACTTTGCAGGGACGTCATCTGCAAGCATAAGCTTCCACAATGACTCGCGATCCACTGAATCGAATGCGGCGCGAAAGTCAATGAAACATGTAGCGGTGGGGCGCTGAAACTTGTAGCGGTGTTCCAGAATTCGCCTTAGGATGAAAATCTGATCGATACATCCTTTGCCGGGTTGGAAGCCTCCTTGGTTTGGCCGCGTACGTGCATGCCTC